GAAAGCAGCAATCGCCATCCCCAAATTGCTCTTCAATAGGGGGGAAACAAGGTGTTTAAAACATCAACGTATGCCTGTGCCCTGATAGTGTCACACAAAACGAGGAGTGCAAGCGCCCTCCATGAAAAACACAGCCTCACCATAACACTATTTTGGACGTCTCCGGATACGTTTGATCACATAGTGTAGGAACCACTTCCACCTTTTCTGTTCGTTTCCTGGTTATTTAGCTCCCCGTAACCGTCACTCACGCGTCACGTCACTCCGCACACCATCTCCGCTCGCTCGACGCGTAACCCTGGCCTTTCCGTTTTTTTAATATTTTTTTAATAATATATCTTTATTAGTGAACGAATATACATAGTTCAGTATTATTTATACTACATCTAGCCCCATGCTTTACGAGTTGTTGTATTATTTCTCTTTTCTTTTCTTCTCATAAAAATAATTTTATAAAAATAATGGAAAAATATAGCACATAACAACATGTAGGCATGATAATTATTCAAAATACATGTATATTACGAAAATAGAAATCTCTTAGAAATATTGGATTAAAAAGCAAATCAAAATTATTATTAACCAAATAACCATTTTACAAAAATTATATTGTTAAAAGCACGTACTTTATCCTCCTAATAGTATATTAAGAATATATGTATAGACAATTTCTCTCCGACAGCGTCATCTCAGTATCTGTTTTGGTAAAACCTCTTACATATCGTAGAACATTTGGCAAAAAAACTAAATGCTTTTTAAGCAAATATTTCAATATTGACAATTATTAGACTCTTCTTCATACATGTAAATCATAACCCTACAATAATTGACAGTAAATTAGTCCTGAGATGATTGTTCCGAATCAGTTTGCCTGCATGTCTATAATCCCTGAATAACTATCAATTTTTTATTTCACATATTTCAAAAATATTTCAAATAATATCTGAAAATATATTTGTAAATGTATACAAAAGTCAAATATAAGAAACGAACAAATAAATATGAAAAAATATAATTTTTAAACTTAGACAGCATCACTGCCTGGAACTAGTTCACCGAAGACATAAATTGGACGTGGCAACTATATTTGTTGTCGAATTACATAAAAATACTCATATTCAAAAACTTCAAACAATGAATATTGAAGATGCTTTTGATGAACAATTTCATAAGAAAATAAATTGTAATCTTCCAATTTAGGTTGTGAAAGAGACCAAAAATATGTTGTGTTCACTTGTGTTCATTGTCTCATTATCCCATTTTGCACTGGAGGGGGATGGGAAAAGTGTTTCCCGAAAGCTTAACATCTGGAAATATTAAAACTTTTGTGGAGATTATTTCCTTTACCATACCAGAAAACAAATTAAATACGCAGAAATCTTAAAAATCTCGAAGATACATTTCACATTTTAAATGGCTTTAAAATGAGGATCAAAAAGTCGGAATGTTTTTCCAGTACCTGTACATTCTCCAAAGTTTTAAACTTGTTTCACTCTTGTTTTCTTCACTGATATTTATATCAGTAAATTGTTACGTGAGTAATTTTCCGTTTGTATCCACGTTAGTATTATTAGTCTTTTTTCATACCATCCTTTTTATCCCCGTATTAAAGTTTCTCTATCGAACTAGTATATACATGTTTTAAGTCTAACACTCTCTTTACTACTTATTTAGACCATTTTCCGATGTACTTTACAATCTCGACACGTGGTTGGTTGATTATCAACTTCGACTTAACGTCGTTGGCGTGACTTCCATTTTATTTATTAACATGCTTTAATATTCATTTCAAATTACGCAAAAACAACGCATTTTCAATCAAAATGTTCTGCTATTCTTAAAGAGCATATTGTTTAGAAAATCCTTTTAAAGCAAATATATATATATATATATAATATATATATATATTATATATATATAATATATATATATATATATTAACATACCACCTACACACACTTACCACCTTCACAGTAGCAGAGAAACCGTAAGCAGGTTGTCAAGATTTTGCTCGCTGAAGCGAGCTTTAAAAATCTAGGGAGCAGGATCTTCAGGGGCGAAAAGTTTGAACCCTTGAACAATTAAAAATCACACAACGATTACACAAAAGAGCGTATAATTTACCATAAACTTTATGGATAGTTAAGAAGAAACCAAGAATATAGAATCACACTTTTACAAAGAATAATAAAAACACAGATAGAACATTTAAACACACATATGTAGAAGAACACATAATTTACTTGAAATTGATACTCAGAAATAATTACCACTAAACTACACGGCAATTCTTGAAAATAATTATATTAAATTTTGCTAATTCTAATTACATTGCACGGAAATCAAAATTTAATTTACAATCTCTCGCTCAAGATATTACATGTAAAGAACAAAGTGTGCAAGTGCACTACTCTAATTTCAATTTTTAACTGGTGTCTGAAATTAGCGAAATAATAAATGTCCTAAGTAAATTTTTAGGCAGGCAAAGCGATCCAAAACGTTCCTACTATATACTGGTAATTTGTTGCCACCGTGTCTCAAATTCTTGACACTTTCCTATATAGTTTTCCCTGCCGACGTGAACTGACCTATTTTCGCGTTCCTAACTTTACTTCGTGGACTTGCAATTTGCTTGGTGTCCCTGGTCGATGCGGTGACTTCGTTGTCCCAACTTGCGTTTAAAGAGGCGGAATTCCCTCTGCCGTTCGTTGCCTTCTTGCAGTCTCTTTCGTTCTTCTTCGTTGTCAATAGTTTTCCGTGCCCGCTCTGGCTCTCGCTCTTCTTCTTCCTCGTCTGCTACCGGGCCTCGACTACCCCAGGTGCGAAAATGTCTTGCACTTTACGAATACTCGGGCAGTTCCTCGGTCGTGCTACTTTACTTTGACAGCTAGAATTTAATGTTCCCCTCACAACGGTAATTTTTACTTCCGTGTTGTTAATGAAGAAACACTACTTAATTCCACATTCGCGACGACTAGCTAGAACGTCTGCTCGACGCCGATACTCTACTAGTAGTGTTGCAGCGGCAAACAATATCTAATGTTTAACAATGTGTTGATTCGCGAACGGTCCAAAAGAGCAGTTGCTTAACTCGGACGCGTGGGAACCAGAAAAGAAGCTTCCGCTTGCGGGTTCGCGTATTTATGGCGCGCGCCTGGAAATATTTCGTGAAGGGGGTTGCTACTTCCCCTCCTTAACCTCAAGAAAACTAGCTCGCTAAGTTCGCATTCTTAGTACGAAGAATGATACCAGGCGCGCGTTTAAGTACTCTGCCTTACACAAGCCTGTTATCCTCGCTGCTTCTTAGTCGACACATGAGACGTGCGTGTTATGGTTGCACATCATAACGCCACATTATATTATAATATATATATTAATCTATATATATATATATATATATATATATATATATATATATATATATAATTATATATCATTTGAATGTTCAAAAAT